ACCATAAATTATCTACTTGTGAACCTTGCTGTCTGCGATATAATATTCGCAACCTTTATTACACCAAAGGTTATCGTCAGCCACAATTTGAGGCAATCAAATGGAGTGGCAGGTTTATTTCTTTGCAAGCTGCTGACTGGAGAGAATCTGGCTTGGAATGCCGGAAAAGCCTCAGGTTTTACCTTGGTGGCAATCTCCATCGAAAGATATTACACCGTTGTGTATCTGCTTGATCTGAAAAGAAAACTGACCCAGCTTAAACTGAAGGTATGTTGATGACAAAGCCTGGTGACCGATTAGCTTTTAATCAAAGAAGCCATTCATATTCAAGAGGAGCAACCTACACTTGATCGTCAACTCAGCATCATATCAATTTAAAACTTTCCTTGTAATCACAGACATTGTTTTGTTTCTATTGTTGTTTTGTCCCATGAGCAATTTATCACGAATTTTAAATACAACTTTATTCTTTGTAAAAATTATAACTGAAGAGGACAGAAGAACTGTCGAAACATGTCTTTTAAAAATTTCATATATTTCTTAAATTCGCGACATATTTGCTTTTATCTTCTTTCAGTTGGCAATATCATCACCGACATGGCAGAAAAATATAAGCAGTTAACTCTGTCAATAACTAGCTAGTTACGTGATAGTATCTTATAGTAATTTCAAGCAAGGCAGAGATTAACTAGGGAGAGGGTAGTGGAGAGTATGTGAACAGAGAGACAGAGATTAACTAGGGAGAGGAGGGTAGTGAAGAGTATGTGAACAGAGAGACAGAGATTGACTAGGGAGAGAAGGGTAGTGGAGAGTATTTGAACAGAGAGACAGAGATTAACTAGGGAGAGGAGGGTAGTGAAGAGTATGTGAACAGAGAGACAGAGATTAACTAGGGAGAGAAGGGTAGTGGAGAGTATTTGAACAGAGAGACAGAGATTAACTAGGGAGAGGAGGGTAGTGGAGAGTATGTGAAAAGAGAGACAGACTCCTTTCATGCTTTTCAATGCGCATATTTGAAACAAATCATTCATGAATGTAAAAGTATTTGCTACTTTTGGTAATTTTATTTAGTTATCTTAGATCAAGGAATATAAACTTTGTGTCCAAAACATGTGCTTAGTCCTTTTCTGCGCATGCGCTAGACCATTGCGTAAGCTTAGCTAATGTAACAATAAACACACAATAATTTAAAAGGAACGTTTTGTAGGGAAGTGATATATGTTGAAGTTTTTATTTTATTATTCTGCAGGTAATCGTTCTTTGCTTGTGGGTATTTTGAGTGGTTTTTAACTTGCCCAAGTTTCTTACGCGAATTTTATGATGAACAGAAAAACCATTGTATTTCAAGCTGGCCTCAAAGATGGATCATGATCACAGTATACTGTTTAGCATGGTTGTTGTTAGTTATTTCTTCAACCGTTACCGTGATTGCGCTTTACTCCAAAGTCGTCTGCACTTTGTGGTTTAAGCCAGTAATGACAACAGTCCATTAAACTATCCGACAAGTAAGTTCTGATTGCAATAAGTTCTGTTTTTTGTTAAACATGCATAGAGCATGTCCTGAATTAGGCTTTCTCGTTGACAATAATCTTGCTTAAAGCATATCTAATGAACAATTGCTTGATAGAACACCTTACATAACAGTAATAAAGACAAGTTAAAGAAGTAATATAAAAATGAAATTCCTCTTTCTTGTTATTCTCCATCTCCCTTTATTCTCAACGTTGTGACAAACATTGTTCAGTCCTATTGAATAACGATCTTATTATGTTTCTTTGCTGACTCAGTGCAATGTATGTCTTTTCTCAATGCCCAGGGTGCTCTGAGGGTTGGAAAACGAGTCACTTCGATAGTATCCGTTCATAACAGTCAGTTTCATCTTTGCAGTTTGTTGGGGAACCGAATCAGTTGAATACGTGTTGAGATTTCTCACATCTCTCAAAATCAGCTTTGTTCAAATAACCATTGTTGCAATGATGGTGTTGTTCAATTCAGCGGTAAACCCCTTTGTGTATGCCCTCCTGTATCATCAGTTCAGCCAGAAAATCAAGAGAATGATATGTTGCACACGCACTGTGGCACCCAGGGCTCGGGCTGAAACAGCTGAGGAAACTAAGCTTTGATAAGATACACAATTAACCTTGACCTATGGATGTATTTAAGATTGTTCTTTTAGATTTCGGACACTGATCGAAAACCGTCGGGGTATCTGACCGGTCTATTGAGATCTAAGGGTGTTTGTCGGCAGGTCACCTTGACAGCTGAAGGAATGATTTATCAAATGCTGTTTTAATGGGCTTCAAAACTAAATAAAAAAGTATGCATCTCCATATGCATACCCTCATGATATCTTCTATGTTTTTAGGTTAATTGCACGAATTCGAAGTATTTCATGTGAAGGTTTCGTTACTCAAAGGTTTTTCGCGGATTTTAGCCCGTCATCGGAACTTAATATGAACTACTTATTCTCATTTAGTCTTATGTGCTCCGAGTTTGAGAGGAAATTGGCATAAATTCTCTGAAGACGTTAAGTGGGAAGTGATGAATGGCATAAATAAATAGAAAGGACATCACCCTTGCAGAGATTGTCAATAAAAACTACCTTTCTTCACAATAACATGTCATTCTCTCTTATAATTTCTGAAAGAGGTTTAGCTTTGCTTGTATAACCATACTTTTCTGCGCACCTGCAAAATTTGTCAATTTGCGCGAGACATTCACACTCATAGACTCCTGTCAACACGTGAATGGCGTATACGAAAGTGAACATGATAACGCTATAGTAACAGTAAGAGTAATTTCTTGCAAACAATTCCATATTTAATCTTTATCATCTGGAGCTAGCCTTACTAATCATATGTTCGAAATGTGTGTTCCAATGAAACAGATGCTAATTCAAAGTTACACCCAATAGTGTGAGTTCTTCCTTCCTTTCAATGCCCCCAGATTGGTTCAGGAAGTGGTTTGATGGTCTTCCCACGCACGAGCCACAACTTCCCTTTTTTCGATTTTCAGCAGCCCAACTTTGTATGTTTGCGACTTCATCTAAGAATGGATCGAAGTAATTGGATCTAACATGAACACAAATGGTTACGCAGGGCGTAAATGTGTCTGCTGTTACAGTCACATGGCGTGGAAACTATGCAAATGTACCTCGTCGAGAACTTAGTTTCTTTAAGGATCACAAGATCTTTTTAGCATTAAATCCTATATGGTTCGTAGGTTCGGTGACATTTTAAACTTAATAATTAATTTCCCTTTTCCGTGCTGTTGATCTACCAAGACTATTCCACTCATTTCAATTTCAGGCCTTCGTCGTACTTCCGTCAAATGGAGCTTGCGTCACCTCAGTGAAATTCTCCGAAAATAGAAGTTTCCAAAAACTGAAGTAATAATTTCTCGGGCGAAACGCATCGTGCAGTGGTAGATTACGGCTAGATGTTAACTACAATGCTTTAATTGATATACAACATCATGTACATTGAGGTAACTACCTTGAAGCATTTTCACATTACTATCTAGCATTAATTTCTCAATAGAATGACAGAACTTATGGTGAAAGCGAAGCAAGTTGTTACTTAGTTTAATATTCCCAGTTTCAACACAATTTTCTAAGAGGAAACGTACAATAAAATCAGGGGACACTAAAGCCATGTAAATTTTGGAAATTATTTCGATTTGGTGAAAAAATTCTGCAGTTCTGAAACTCTGCTACTGTTGAATTAGCTGATAGTGTCCACGGATGAGAAATAATCCGAAAAATGAGGCAAATTCAACAACAAAACACAATAAGAAAAATGCAGGTGCTCTGTGTCCAAACATATCTTTAATACTAGCAATGATGTTTTGAACAATCGAGCAAAAAACAGCCTTCGCAAGATTAATAACGAAACTCACGATTCCTAAAGGCCTGTCGATATAATCGATTGAAAATCTAACCTTGATGTCATTACTATTTTTATGATTACTTAAAGCTGCCGTTATCGATTGATGGACAGCAGGAAGGGTTTGTAAGCGTTCCCTTAAGATAGCTATAATTTCAATGAAATTTACCCCGGCCTCAGTCCTCGTCTGCCGAGTTATGCAAAAGACTTGAGATAGTTAACAGCATTTTATTTCTCTTCTGACACATCGCTGACGTTTCTTTCCCTTTTTAATTGTCTTGCCACTTTCAACTTAATTTGAATTCTTATTACATAAAACCTCTAAGTTGAAGGGGCATCGATTCACTTTTAATGCACTTTGTCAAGTCTTGTCAGTAAATCACTTCGTAGATCAGATAAACAGCTGTACTCCAGTAAGTTCATTTTCAAACGTCATCATGGATCTTTATATGGGCAAATGTATTCACTCGCCTTGACATACTGCATGAGACTATTTCCTACGCACTACGTGTTACTGCCACCAGCTGATTGCATTAATTTTGAAATTTATGTTGATTATGACCATGACTCTATTTTTGAAATTAAACTGCCAGTCACAAGCAATTAGTGTATTGAGTAAGACTTTCCATTGTATGATTCTTCGTAAAATTGTCGTGTAAAGAAGTTTGGCTTTTAATTTTTAACGCTTTGGCCATATGGCGTTCGCGCCTTCAAGTCTCTTTTGGATCAGGTAGGTTAATTATATTAATTATGACCATGACTGTCTATTTTTCAAATTAAACTGTCAGTCACAAGCAATTAGTCTTTTAACTAAGATCTTCCGTTATTTGATTCGTCGTAAATTTGTCGTCTAAAGAAGTTTGACTGTTAATCTTTAACGCTTCGGCCGTAAGGCGTTCGCTCCTTGAAGTCTCTTTTAGATCAGGTAAGTGCTGGACATTTCTCGATTCGGCATATACTAAATTTTGCTTTCATTATATGTCGGTAAGCTTTGTATTTGTCTCGCTCATATTCTTTTTTTTCCGTATTGTTGTTTTCATAAAACATCTAAGAAATTAAAATGAGAAAGGATCGTGAATTCGCTTGTCGATCATGAAATTATAGTTGACACTTTTTTAGATTAACTACATCTACTTTGCGCGCTTTACCTTATCATATTGTTTTGCGAAACAAGAACATGACGCTTTTATCAGCAAAATTTTAAAGATTTAGTCGTCAAAATTTGCAAATCCAGTCTGACTGTTTTTAAGAAACCGTCGTTGCTGTCTAAAGCCCAGACGGTAGTTTTTGTGATGGCCTATTCCTGTTTAATATTGAAACCCATATATCAACGGCTTGATAAGTTTTTAAATGCTTTATTAAGCCCAGATTCTTTTCAGTATACTTTTATTGATCTTACTTCATATTTTCATATATTTTTAATGCGCCTGAACTTTGTGTAAGTTGGTATTGTATGATGTTGTTTGCTTCAAGGAAGCGGAGTAATTACCCTTTAATTAGCCTTTTCTTTTTTTAATTTTTCTAGATGAGTTGGTTTTAAGACTACTCTACATCGGTTTTAACAGGTGAAACGTTCTTAACACTCTTTTATAACTTGGTTGAAAATGGTTCGATAATCTTGTGATGTTTACATCCTAGTGAATAGAAAGCAGATCCGCTTGTTTTTTCTTATTATTTTTTAGACAGATGGTACTAAACCTTATAAAAGCATAACAAATGTTGAATTCAATCTAACATCGCGAAGTGCGCCTCTTTTTCTCGGTATTACTTTTTTTCTAAATTCTCTTTTTGCTTAATATCTAGTTAAAACTTCGAGGAGTCAAAGGTCCTTCGTCCTTCTCCATTTGTAATAAGGTGATCATTTGTAATAACCGTCTCCATTTGTAATAAGGTGATCGTGTCCATCCATAAAAGCACCAGAAAATTAAATCTTCCGGAGAACATGGTGCGACTTGCTGGCGACGCGCTAAATTAGTGTTCGTTTACTTTACGAACATGAAATAACAGAAAATGATTGATATGGCTACATGCTGTGGATAATTTTCAGGCTGAGGACTAAGTCACAATGGTCAAGTACGAGGTTTCTTCTATTGTGATTATCGCTGTGCTCTTAGTCCTCGTCGTTGTAGGCGTCACTGGCAATACACTTGTCTGTTTGATTATCAAGGGGAATCGTCAAATGAGGTATGTCGCTGGAAACGATACAACAGTCAAGTAAAAGGTCTTTTGTGGTATATCATCATTATTATTCATCATGTCTACCTTTCTTTGACTCTAAAGGACTCCCATTAATTATCTACTCATGAACCTGGCTGTCTCCGATATTCTGTTTGCGACGTTTATTACACCAAAACTTATTGTCAGCTTGACTTTAAGTCACCCAGAGGGAGTAAAAGGTTCCATCCTATGCAAGTTGGTGACTGGTGGAAATTTTGCTTGGATTCCTGGAGTTTCCTCAGTTGCTACTTTGGTTACGATTGCCTTCGAACGATATTATACTGTAGTATATCCTCTAGATCCAAATAGAAAAATGACTAAATGTAAACTGAAGGTGAGTAATAGAATAAATTGGATTATTATAACATATTTGTTTTAATGTTTTCCACTGTTATATCATCATCATACTCTTCTCACAAGCTTGGTAACGCCACTCGATAGCCGAAAAAATGATTGTGTGTGTACATGCTATGAAACTTATTCGGCTCGTGGAAGGAATAAGTATAGGGGAAATTAAAGGGAACTCGCTTAAAATCGAGATAAATATTAATATTTTCCCAGATCAACAGGCGCAGCGCCGGTAATTTAGCGTCGCTTGGGCATTATGAGTGAAAAATGCAATTTGGTCATGAGCACCTGCATGTAAATAAGTGACACATTAGACAAGAAGCCTCGATATATTTTCGTTGTTCGCCTTGTCCACAAAACCCTCACTCGCACCCTTCCTTTCACTTACTTTTTCAGGTGATCCTTCTTTGTTCTTGGATATTCTCAGTGATTTTTAACCTACCTCTCTTTCTTGCCCGTACGTTTAAGAAAGAAGATGGGAAAAACCACTGTGTACTAAGCTGGCCCGAAAAGTGGATGTCTACAAGCAGTTGTATTGCATGGTTGTTCCTGACTGTTGCAGCTGTTGGTATAATGATTACTCTTTACTCTCAAGTCGTGTACCCTTTATGGTTTAAACCAAAGAGTTGCCTTCCTCTGAGCTGTAAGCAACAAGTAAGTGGCTAGGTCAAACTTTCTTTCACCGAATTATACATGGCATAAGGTTTCAACTGAGCGGCGAAAAACATCCAGGAATCGAGAATTTAGTACCATCCTCCCAGCCAATCGCGACTTGGACACTTGCAATTTCTGCGCTTCTAGCGTTTTACGTTATTTCTTGTAGAGAAATCAAGGAATTGATTGTAAAAAATTGGACTCTAAGACTGCATCTAAGTTGACCAGAGTAACTTTCCTTGTCTTCTTTATTACAGGGTGTGATCAGGGTGCGAAAACGTACCACCTTAATGGTCATAACAGTCAGTGTCATTTTTGCAGTAGGTTGGGGAGCAGAGTCAGTTGAATACGCCTTAAGGACTATGTCCACTCTGGACATGAAGTTTAAACACATTGCCATTGTCGATATAATGGTATTGTTCAATGCAGCTATCAACCCGTTCGTGTATGCCCTCCTGAGCCATCAGTACAGACAAAAGATCAGGGGAGTGATTTGCTGCGCACGTGCTGTAGCACCCAGGCCAAGGACTAATACGACCGTGGAAAGTACGGAAATAGAGACTAGGTTTTAGTTGAAATCATAGTTGACTTCATCGGTTAGAAAGAGTTATGATAAAGAGGACTGCTTTAGATATCATTTGTACATTAAACAAATTGAGAGTACTTCTGGTGGTGTTTGTATACTCAGGATTACTCGCACTCACAAGATGACTTGTAAAGTGTCTACATCGGCTTAGAAGTCAGCCTATAAATTGAAAGAGCTCGATCAAGCACCTTTAAAAAATTAACGCAAATTTTTTTCCGAACTTTGTTTCTTTCCGTTTATTACGATTAACAGTGGCGTAGCGCAAATAATACCAGAAAATGAATTTTAACGTGCACATTCTGTAATGACACATCCTCGATACTGAATTTGATTTGCAAATTTTCAATCAGAAAAGTTTTAAAATCCAGAGTACTACCAGTTGCGATAATGAGACTGCTAGAAGTCGCTCGTGAGCTACGCTACATACTCAGTGAACCACGACCATTGTTGGATTTTGTTAAAAAGAAACTTTTTTTTAGATATATATCCATTTCAACCCGAAACCTGTAAGATAGGTTTCGAGATCAACATATTTCATTCATAAAAATAAATGGAGGATAATCTCCAAGATACAAACTGCTGCCTCACTTTCACCAACTTTTTAAAATCTTTTAGCGAGAAATATAGTCATGGCGTTGTTTTTTCGTGTCACATAGATCTTACGGGTGCGTTTGTCTTCCAATCATTAGCCGACGATTTTATAGTTAAAAGCCCAGAAGAATTAACTTCGGTATTACAGCACCCCCAAAATTTTCTCCCTATTTCATTTAATTTAAAATTCTGGTGTTGAGTTATTTGTACTCGTCTAAGTGTGGTTGGATAATAATGCTGCATAATGCAGAACTGCAATGGCTCAGATATAAACTATATTCATATTCAATTAACGGGAAAGCTTATGACATACGTCGATCTTGATGCAGATGGTGCTGGTGCGTATCTTTACAGTAAGAAATGCAAATACTCATAAAGCCATTGCAGTTCTGCATTATGCAGCATTATTATCCAAATACACTTAGACGAGTACAAATAACTCAACACCAGAAGTTAGGTGGCTATGAGTTATACTCAAAAGTTAGAAATAAATGCCGAAAATTTGTCAGATAGTGAAAATTTCATCATTTCGGAAGGACACAAAAGTATACGACTTAATTAGGTAGGTGGGAGACTTAGGTAGGTAGGGGACGTTAATTTCCCACACACGAGATTACTGTGCGATGGATGTCCTCCCCTGGGGTGGGATGGGTGGGAAGGTGAGATCGATAGACTGAAGCGGCTGCCAGAGGCGCCTGATATGCTGACGTCTGTTCTCAGCCTTACACTGCGCCCGTAATTCAGCCTCTGGGCTGCAAGTGGTCAGATATAAACTATATTCATATTCAATTAACGGGAAAGCTTATGACATACGTCGATCTTGATGCAGATGGTGCTGGTGCGTTTCTTTACAGTAAGAAATGCAAATACTCATAAAGCCATCGCAGTTCTGCATTAAGCAGCATTATTATCCAACTACACTTAGACGAGTACAAATATCACGCGGTATTTGTACTCGTCTATTGTAGAGTACCGGTTAAACAGGTTTTCTCGCATCGCGCAAGCGAAGAATTGGATTTTAGTTACAAAAGAAAAAAAAAGTGGCGACAATTTGAATCATATTTCCGACGACGAAGAGTCAAAATGGCTGGCAAATATAGATCCAAGTTTATTAGATGAATCGAACGAAGAAAAACAGCTTGACGACCAGAAAATTTCTTCATTTTCTGAAAAAAATAGGAACAGCAACACAACAACGCGCCAATTCCGTTCCGCTTCGCATACTTCTGTCACGCACTTCCGGTAATTTTAATTAAAAATATCCGCGAAATTCGCCCGCTGAAACAACAGTTTGGCGTGTCGGATAATAAATAACTTATTAGACGTGTTGTTGTGTAGTATCGCTGAGTATTTTTACTCGTTATTTGTATTTTGACTCGCCCTGCGGGCTCGTCAAAATACGGCACAACTCGTAAAAATACTCAGCTATACTACACAACAAAACGTTCAATAAGATATATATATATATATATCCAATCATAGCATCTCTTTTTTGCAGGTGTTTTACTCATACGTTTATTAATATGATATATTCATATTGTTACAGAGCAATGAATTACTTCCTTAACTGCTGAAGACGTTTTTAGCGTCCACATCACGAACTAAATTCCTCCCAGGAAGTGACTAAGAAGGAAAAGAGGTTTCTGAGAAGAATACGTATTCTTTTTTCCCGTACTTATTTCAACTTATTTTAATCTATTTTGATAAGTTTCCTTGGTTGACATCATGGACCTGCAACAGCTTTATTAATACGCAGAACCTGTAAAATCATCTGTTTGCTTACTGTCTCGTTGTTCTACTGCAAAAACTGTGTTTTCAAATGAAAGAAGTTCCAAGTTGTTTTGGCTGAAAAGAGGATTTAGCGTCTGCTTTGTTAAGGTAAGGACACCTTCAACTTCTTTACATGAGTGCTGAATATGCTGATATGATCCGAACGCGAATTGAAAAATTAATTGTCCAAGATTATGAGACAATGTCGATGTGGTCTTAGTTGTTTTCTATCTATGGAAAAGGAAATAATTAAACGTTCATAATAAAGGTATTCAACATAGTGGTATGAATTTTTCTAAAGAAAGATCTAAGTGGTGATAAAAAGGTACAAGGTAGTCTTTTTCGATGGGATATTTTCGTAACTAACTTAAACGAGCTTCTGTACAGAATCGAGGATAGGATAATTAGGATGGTCGATCGATGTTGTAGTTTTTGCACTTCAGTTCACTTTGCCAAACATCCAATAACCCATGATAATGACAATAATCGATTATTATTGTTCCTCACCAGCATTTGATATCAGAGCCACTTAATTTGGTGGTATCGATATAGGTAAACTACAACCTAGATTGACGCCTTTTGTGAGGATGGAATTAGAATCGAATGCGGCTGTGATCATCACAGTCCTCTTAATTCTTGTTGTTGTGGACATTACAAGCAATACACTGGTCTGTTTGATTATCATGCGACATCTCCAAAGGAGGTATGGGAAGGAATAAAGAGCAAATAATTGAAAAAGTTAATTTCCTGATTGGTTTAGTTCAGCTGACATATTATGGCTCATTGGCTGTTTTTAATAATGTTCTTTAAATTCATAGGACTCAGATGAATTATTTACTATTGAACCTGGCTATTTGCGATGTGCTATTTGCAATCTTTATTACCCCAAAGATTATTGTAAGTTACAACATTAGCCATCCAGACGGAGTGACAGGCGTCATCTTATGTAAGCTGTTGACTGGTGGAAACATGGCATGGGTTTCTGGAGCATTTTCAGTTATAATTTTAGTTACCATTGCTGTTGAACGATATCACACGGTGAGGTACGCGTTTGATCCAAACAGGAAACTGACCAAGCGTAAACTAAAGGTTAGTCTCAATAAACCTGCTGAGGTATAGGGGGCGAGGGGAGGGGGGAAGGGACGAGATGTCCTTCTATTTTCAAAACGGATTTTGAATCAACAATCTATCTTTTTTTGGCTTCTTATCATCCTCTAAGTTTGGTCCCCCAAATGCCACAAATGTGCTTTTCATTTCTTTTCAGGTGATCGTCCTTTGTTCTTGGATATTCGCTGTGTTTTTTAACTTACCACTCTTTCTTGTCCGTACCTTTGAGATGGCGGAAGCAAATAACTATTGTGTTCAAATCTGGCCTGAAAAGTGGATGTCTTCAGTTTATTGTGTGGCATGGTTATTCTTGGTCGTGGCTTCCGCTGTCACTATGACTGTATTATACTCACGGGTCATTTACACCTTGTGGCACCATCCCAATGATGGCAATCCATTGACCTATAAACAACAAGTGAGTATTGTTGACCAACATTTTTCTAATAGAAAAATGGCATTATAAACCATTACAATTTAGCCTCTGAGCTTCGACACTTTTAAGGAACTTCAGTTTCCCAGTTCACGTTACCATAGTTGTTAAATGAGCCATTCAATAAGGATGCCCTCGATTTAATGTAAAACTATAATTAAATGTTCCACAGCATTTTGGGTCCTTCAAAGACGCATGGTTTAAAATTGACCTTATCGACTGCCGTCCACCGCTCTCCCCCTAAACGATTTTGCTCGTCGAAACGCCTAACAGAAGTCACGGCTTGTTATTAAAAGTTGATATATACATACCACTGACCTGAATTGACTTTTTTCATTCTAAGGGTGTGCTGAGGGTGCGTAAACGCGTCACTTTGATGGTCATCTCAGTAAGTGTCATATTCGCAGTTTGTTGGGGAGCAGAGTCGGTTGAATACGCACTGAGAATCACCTCCAATCTCAACATCAGCTTTGTCCATATTGCTACTGTCGACATGATGGTACTGTTCAACTCAGCCGTCAACCCCTTCGTGTATGCCCTCTTGAACCATCAATTCAGACAGAAGATCAAGGAAGTGATGAGTTGCACACGCCTTGTGGCACACAGGCCTCGGGCTGAAACAGCTAAAGAAACTAAGCTTTGATTAGACACACGAAAAACCTTGTCTTATCCACGTTATCAAAAAACATTGTAAGATTGATTTTAGAAGCAAAACTCTTGGCTCAAAAAAGTCTAGGGTCTGACCGGTTTTTTGTAATCAAATCGTATCTAACAAGAGATAATCTAAATGAGCTTGAGCGAGTGATCAACAATTGCCGTCTTTTACTAACAAAACTATAGCCAACTAAGAGCTTCAAAAAAACTAAACCGACAGTCCTAGGCATGTCCTTTTTCATGCCACAGATTTTTAGATATCTTACAGTTAATTGGTATGTTATACGATGGTAAACCTGGTGTCTACTAATATTACTACTACTGTTACTACTAGTCATTTTAAAAATATTTTATTTATATGTACCTGGGGGTTTGGGGAATTTGGATTATATTCTGTAAGATTCAAGTGTTAAATTTCTTCGCCTTTGTCTATTACTTATTTTTACTTCGAGAAGCTTGCCATTTACTTCAGCCGGGTTGTTGATTTTAAGCTGCTTCTCAGTAAAACAGACCCTGATCTCTTTACATTTACATTCGTTGAGTTGGAAGCCATTAGATAGAGACTGTCTGGAAAGACTGTCTACAGCAGCTTGAATGTTACTTGGTTGGCCGTGCTCTTGCACCTCTAAAATAATGTTGTCATCTACTTATCTCCACGTAGATACTCCTTAAACAATAAGATCATTGATCACTATAATGAAGAGCAACGGGCCCAAGTTTGTTCCTTGGAGCACCCCAGAAGGAACAGAGGACCAATCTGAGGGGCAGTCGTTCGCAAGTTTGAAACGTTGTTTTCGGTTCATCAGAAAGTCTATGATCCAACACACAATTTGATGTGGGATGTCACACGCTACCATTTGTTTTACTAAGATGTTGTTATATTTAAGGTCAAAAGCCTTTCGGAAATCAAACAATGAAAACAACTCGGTTGGTAGCTCCGTTTCCCTCGATACTTACATACAACTTTTGTGTTAAGATAATAATAAGAGCATGCGTGATACTCGAATTAAGGATCGTGCCAAATTGGTACAAGTCGATTGTCTTAGGCACGGCGGGTTTTACATAGCTTTCTACAACAGAGAGGCATTCCTCTCGCGCATGCGCAGACAAAATGCCTCTCTGTTAGCTTTCTACAACATGTTCCTCAGCAATCTTGGAGATTATAGATGTGAGTGAGATTGGGCGTTGCTTTGGAACTGGAACGACATCGGCTCCCTTCCATACCGAAGGTAACCGCCCATTGCGATAGGAGTAATCGAAAATATCACATATTGGACCAGCCAGACGATCGGAATTTTCTTTCAGGAGCCGTCCGGGAATTGCATTAGGGCCCTGCGCTTTAGTTGGATTAAGCACCACGAGTTTCTTAAAAGTTAAAATTTCAGTCATCATATATGATTTCTTTTTTTGTCTGTTTCTTCGCTTGTTTTCCAAGTATTTAGTTTTTCCTGTTATTTTTCACAATGTCTAGAACTAAAATTATCTTTCAATCAGCTCTCTTTATCCCCACGATATCAACGAATACTTTTCATTCGACTCATTAATTCTATAGGAAAATTCATTACTTGACGAGGGAATTCCGCATTAAATTGTACGCGAAATTCACTTAACGAAATTTAAGAGCTCCATTTTCTGCGCATAAAACATACACAACCCACAATTCATCTATTTGCCCTGAAGAAAGGCTAACGCTCGAAAGATCAGCTTAAGAAACTAGATACGGTCGTCAATTTGCTTTATCACCTCAGTAGAGACGACCTATTATCTTCTTATTAGGCCCCCTCCGACGCAGCAGGACGACTTCTTTAGAAACTTACACCCTTTCTTCATTCGTTAGCGTTCGTTTGAGATTTTTTTCTTCATTAGCGCCTTTTATTTAGTTTTTGCTCTTTTCGGCGCCTTTAATTTTTCTCAGCTTCACTTGAAAACCACATAAAAAACAGTCAGACAGCAATTCTTAATTTAACTTTGTCCTCTCTCTGCACGACGCAGTTAAGTTATAACACAGCTCCTTGTAGTTTCCTCTGTGAGAGTTTCTTTTTTCAGCTACCGTAAGTGCAATGTACATGCACTTAGTCCTTAATCGTAGGTTTTTCGTTTATATTTGTGTTACAAATAGTAACTTGGCTATTTTAACATTAAAGTTAGAACTACGTGTATCTGCGTCTAAACATAGCCATCCACCATCTTCGTTTGCGTCTTCGTGTAGTTCGTCCTTCGTTTATTAAGATAAATCATTTAAATTTATAGAATCCTCGTAGTTTTGTTATTTTGGCCACCCCATATTAGCAGTTACATAATCTCTAAACTTTCAAGTGAGATGTGAGGAATGGCATACCGCTTCCAAAGGAAATAAAATTCACAGATGAATTTACAGGATGGGGGTCATTTAAAAGATCGATCGTAAGTTATCTAATGATAACTTAAAAACGTTTTTGAGATATCAAGCTGTCAGCGTTTTGTTTCGCTTAGCAACATCCAATCAAAAAAATTCTATTTGGTAGGTGTTTTACTCAATACGGTCGACACCCGATAACTCGAAACTTCAAGGGAATTTGAATAAGGAACGGTTTTAAAAGTTTTGGTCAATTGACTTTCTCTCCACAAGTTTGTTCTAGGTAATGGTAAATGCATACACCTTGTGGTTCTTCATTCAGCCCCTGCTTAAGTCCGCGTTTTAAACGGCGTGTAAATACGTTAAAAAAGTCCTGCTCTCTTTAATTTCTCTTGCTTTCTTATTGTGGTCGTACAAACATATCTGAAAATTCAATGCGTTTACTCGAAACTTCAAGGCAATTTGAATAGGGAACGGAGAATTTGAGTTTACGTGAGTTGAAGATATAAGCACCTTACTTAAAGGTATACTATAGCAAAGAAACCCGAACTGGACTGACACGTTTTGTGTATTGCAAAAAAGGACAAAGATTACATAGCAAAAGTGTTGGACTGAGTTATCACGTATTGACAGACGTGGTTCGATGGGGTTCGAGTTATCGAGGGTAAAAACATAAAGAGACTGATCTGAAGGTTAAAATCGCTGTAACTGTACGATGGAAATGCAAGGGAAACCCATTTTGGTTCGATTTAGTTGGATGTTTGGGTTTGTGAGGACTCGTGTCATCGGGGGTCAACTGAATGTAAGCAAAGGTGTATTCTTGTTGTTACTAAGCAATGATCTCCACCCAAACGGCCAAAGCTGTTTATGGCGTCCACGTCAAAAACCGAATTCATCTCTGCTGTGATGGAGCTGTTATGGCAAGAATGGTTTTTTTGACAAGACAAATGCTTATCCTATTCCTTCCTTTTCATCTCAACTTTACTTTTCTCATTCATTTTATTCTGTTTTGATTAGCAATATTGGACGTTTTCAAAGGTCTCCAGCAGCTTGAATTTTGTGTTAAATGTCTCATCATTCGAGTACAAAAGCTCTATTTAAAGCGTCTGAAAGTTAGCTTTCCCCTTCTTTGCGAACGTGAGGAGTTTTTGTACACTTTTATTACGTACCGCTAATTTGATCCGATCGCATTTTTAAACAAAACCATTTTTGAAGAATGGTCGAAATATTCAGTGCCACTGATTGTGACGACCACATTTGTAAGTTGTTCGGGGCAGAGTCATTTGATTTTCATCAAAAGGTCTCTTTTTACGCGCGATATCCTCTTTGTTCAAATTTTCGTGTTTGACATAATAGCCTCATTTATTTCATCTTTGAAACTCTTTGTTCAGACATTAAAAAATATTATTCTAAGATTTAAAAAAAGAGTATTGATTAACAATGAAAACTCTTCAATATTTTTTAGCCGTTTGACGGTTAACAGTAAACATTATTGAGACTCTTTCAAAAAAACTGCACTTGTTAATAAATAATACAATCGGCTTAATTAAGACGGTCAGATGTATTAATAATATTAAGTATGTTCAACCAAACTACAATGAGCAAAGGCTGAATTTCTCACTTTGTCGTTAGTACCCCATTCATGCTTAGCGAAATCTGTAACCTATTAGTGGACGTTAGGATTTCATAAGTGTGTCCTCAATAAGGGTTTTACTGAAATGCATTCTCGCTTCTGTCCTCTTCAGCTAAAATAAGACAACATACTTCAAGTTCAGCTACAAAATAATCTTATTGATCCCCCCACCCATCGGTGGTGTCTTTCCATTCTTGATTGTCTCGCTTTTTACATCCACCAGTAAGCTAAACTGTTAATGCATGATAGGTCCAACTACGCCTTGCCAGGTCGTGGCACTGGTTTGTGGATAAAATACTGTGTTTCGCGTTCAGTATATCTCAAGAGCTTTCATCTTAAGTTCATTTTCAATGCTACACAAAGATCTAGCCGGGTATGGAACAAAGTTATGGGAAAATGCAATGTGCACTCGCCTCGGCATATTTCATTGATCATTTCCCACATAATGTATGAGACTGCCACCCGCTGATTCAGCTAATTTTGAAAGTTATGTTAATTTTTACCTTAACTTTCTATTTTTTTTAGATTAAAATGCCATTTGCAGACAATTAGTCTGCTGGGCAAGACCTTCTGTTGCATGACTCGCCGTAAATTCTTCGGATGTCTGGCACTGAGTTTTAAAAGTTGTTTTGGTCAATTAACTTTCTCTCCACGAGTTTCTCCTACTCCTAGATAACGGTAAGTGCATAGGCCTTGTGGTTCTTCATTCAGCCCCTGCTTAAGTCCGCTTTCTAAACGGCGTGTAAATTCGTCAAAGAAGTTCTACTCTCTTTCGCTTGCTCCCTAATTGTGGTTGTACAAACATATCTGAAAAATTAATGCGATAAGTGATGGTTAATGTGCTAGTTGGTAATGATTAACAATAAAAACACCTCGTTGGATAAAGGATACCTACTTTCATACCCCATTACGTAATCATCTCGTTTTGTCAACTGTTATACATTACCTCGACTGCGGTATTGTACAGTTGCATAAAAACGATCTGAGAAATTTTCCCTTTTTTCCTGGCTTTTGTTAGGTGTCCAAGTGGCTACATCATTTTGTGAACGTCTAGTCTAGATGGCTTTCTTTGTCGAATATATTAAGCTATGAACGGCTCAGATCGATTACAAAGCTAACATGCACAGATTCTTTTAGTGTACTTTCATTAATTTCATCTCATGTTTTCATACTCAACTTGCCTGAGCTAAATGTAGATTGGTATTGCACAACATTGTTTGTTTTAAAGGATTTAGTGATATTCCGTTATTTGGCCTCAGCTTTACAGTAAAGTGGAGGCTACCTTTGAATCGGTTGCACCTTATCCAGATTTGTCTGAGTAAATTGGATTTATGACTACCCTGTCTCCGACGACTTAAACAGGTGAGACATTCTTGATGATCTATTAAGAT